CCTCGCTCCCCACTCACCCTGCAGTCCCTGCACTCCCCCGGCCCCTGCAGCCTCTGAGACCCCTGCTCACCACTCGCCCTGCAGCCTCTGTGCCCTCCCTGCTCCTGCAGTCCCTGCACCCTCCTGCCCCTGCAGCCTCTATGCCCCTACCTGCCCTGCTCCTCCTCGCCCTGCAGCCTCTGCACCCCCCCGCCTGCCCTGCTTCCTCGCTCACCCGGCAGCCTCTGCCTGGCAGGGGCTTCAGACGCTCAGCGGCGACCGGGGTGGCACGGGTCCCTGCAGCCCTGGCCGCAGCCTCCTTCCTGCCACCGCCGAGCACGTTCCCTGGCCTGTTGTCCCCGCCGGAAACAGCTCCCGCGGCGCCTGGTTCCGAGCCGTGAGGGGCAACAGGGCCACAGCAAGGGTCCCCCAGTGGCCGTGGGGTGCCCGCCTGTGGGGGAAGCCCGAGCACCCCCTGCCCGAGCTCACTACAATGTAGCCGGGGCGGCTGGACTGTGCTGCGGACCCAGCGGATTGTGCTGGGACCGGGCAGACCGTGGCTTATGCCTCCCTATTTCCCCGGACATGTCCAGCTTTTTGGAAATTCCCCCCGGACGGGGATTTGAGCACCAAAAAGCCGGACGTGTCTGGGGAAATCCGGACGTATGGTAACCCTAAGTTAAGTCCAAAGCTGACTGCAAAGTTACAAAGGGATCTCACAAAACTGGGTGACTTGGCAACAAAATGGCAGATGAAATGCAATGTAAATGCAAAGTAATGCACATGGCAAAATATAATTCCAACTACATATACAAAATGTTGGGGTCTAAATTAGATGTTACCCATCAAGAAAGATGTTACCCATTGCAGTAGTCTGGAAGCACTATGCTTCCATACTACTGCAAATTTATAAGAATCTTTCTCACTGTGCCTGTATAATCCGGAACTGTGGAACATTCATTCTCCAGCTTCAGAAGATTTAAAAATTATCTCCAGTCATCAATGGGATAGACACAACTGAATAATGTAGCTGTCCTTAATGTGCATCAAGACCATACTAGGCAACTAGATATAAATAAGATTGCTGATAGTTT